GGGGGAGACCAACTCCAGGAGCGCCACTCCCCCCGCGTCTGGCCCATACCAAACTGGTGCTGCAGCAGAGGGCACAAACTGTTTCAGAAAAGGGATTTTTCTGTGTTTATTATCCCAGCTGAACCCAGAACTAGGCACCACACCCCCCACCATGTTGGAATGTGCCATATCTGTCTTGGGACTGCAGTTTTTGTATGACTCTTCCACCTCAACTTTGCACAAAGATGGACGACTTCTTGTGCCTTTTCTGTTGTAAAACAGGAACTCGTGTGTCGCAGTTTACAGCAAAGATCCCTCTATGGTTCCTGGGAGTTTTTTCTCTCTCTCCTTCATTGATGTGTCTCTTTCCTTCTCTCCTCCTCTCTCTCAGGGGAGCTGTTGTTCCCTGGTGTGTAATTTTTAAAGCGTTTCTGCAGGAGCGGTTTGAGGACCGAGACAACACCAGAATGTCACTTTCTGCGCCTTCGACCTGTGTTCTTAGCACACAGCCTTGTACATGATATATTTTTGTAAATGGTGTGGTTGTACCCTGAGTCTTGATTTGTGGTTTGATCTGAAGTGCGAGGGCTGTAAGAAAGGGGTTCCTGACTTCATCCAAAAGGCTCTCCCGTCTAACAGATCACCCTGAATTGGGGTCTCTAGCCCAGGGGAGCCCCACTCCCATCAGTCTTACATGTCACTCTGAATCGGGGTCTCCAGCCCTGGGGAGCCCCACTCCTGTCAGTCTTACAGGTCGCCCCGAATCTGGTTCAAGCCCTGGGGAGCCCCACTGCAGTGAGTCTTACGGGTCACATGCTTTGAGTCTTCAATGAGCTGGATGATGCGTGTGGTTAAAGAGATATTCTGGAAGCCATGACCTCTGTGTGTCTATGAAACGCCCTTCTTCCCCTTTGCTGGCGGGAGGTACTGCTGGAAAAGGGGGACCCCCATCAGCGCAGAGGCAGTGTTGAATTAAAATCAGGAACACAGACTAGAGCTTGAGACTCGACCGATGTGGAAATTGAAGTGTAGGAGTGATGTGTAGGTCTGACGTGAGGCAGTAGGCTCTAGCTGCAGAGTTCTGGACTTATTGCAACATTTCGAACACCAAGCGGAGAGGGGTGTTGGGGAGCCTGTAGGATACAGAGTTGCAGAAATCAAGCCTTGCTGCGGTAGAAATGCATGAGTCAGGCATGGGGCATCAGACATCGATAGAAATTGCCTAAGGGGGGCAACATTTCTAAGGTGAAAAACAGGTTTTAATAAACATTTTCACGTGGGGCTCAGAGGACAGGAGAGGATGAAGTGTGAATTGCAGGTTCCTGACTGTGACTGATGCCTGAGTGGCCACGCCATCCGCCATTACTGTGAAGCTCTCCAGCTGTTCCAGCAGATGTGTCCTACCCCCCAGTAAAAGTTGTTTTCCCACTATTTAGCTTCAGAGAATTTGACGCCAACTGGAGTTTGAGTTTATCTTCACACA